TCAGAGTTAATAAAAAAAAAAAAAATTTTGGACCAGTTAACAAAGGAAGGTTACATAGATTTGGGGTTTTTTTTAATGTGAATGTGGTGTTTTTGTTTAGATTATTAAAGCTAGTGGCTAGTGTAAACTCGTGTGTAGTGTATCCGACGTGTGCATTATTACATAATGAAAATTAAGAAGTTTATTTTAATAATATCGTAATAAGATTTTTCTTCTCGCTTCTTGCATATTGACACATGAATGAGGATTAAAAATTATTGAAAGTCATACTAAAATGAACAATAAACCTAAAAGAGTTTTCAAGTCCCAATTTAACTAATATGAACATTAATCACGTAAACATGAGCAGGGTTGTCAATTGGTGTTCATGGTTTTGACAAAATCCAAACTTGGCTCATAAAATAAATGGAGCTTTCTAGTTCAGGCCTATATTAGAAGGTTCAGACTTAATTTACATTTTAACATGATCTTTGGATTCAAATTGAGTTGAACCCAAAATCTAAATCAAGTACATAATTATATATAATATTTATGAATGATTAAAAAATTGTATATAGATTATTAATATTTATATTATAATTTATAATTATAGATTATATATATTATTATATGGATTAATCTTTCATACACTAACATTGTATACACTATCAACATTAGATGAATGATAACTATGCAAAATTTGAATTTGAAATTCATTTTTTGCACACATGTCATGAATCAAACGGTGATAGTGTATACCCTGTCAGTGTATATAAGATTTACTCTTATTATATATTACTAGGAGGGAAATGCCCGCGCATCGCGCGGGTGTTTGGTGCCTGTGGTTAAAGAAGATTTTACGGTAGTTCAAGCGAACTCATATATGCAAAATCAATTCTCCAACATCAGTTCAGTTCAAAATTATGCATACTATTTTGCTCAGTTCATATATTTTGAAACAAACACTTGTATATGAGCTTTTCATTAACAAGACTAAATGAACTTTAAACAAATACCCAAATGATTAATGGCAATCAACAAAGTGATTATCCACTTAAAAATGCATCTACACAACATTCTTGTTGATGAAAGTAGCCAACTTTTTTAGCAACGACAAAGCCTAGCCTCAAACGGTTTGGTTCCATCCGAGAATTCAGCAATGGATCATCAACCCCCGTAGATTTTGGGTGAACATAATGCCAAATGCCCTTAACATAGGCCTTTACCTGTAATTTCATTAACTCAATACTAATTAGATCTTTCCCCCAAAAATAAGGACAATTGAGAAAAATCACATCAAGATCGAAGCCGTCTAGTATCTCCAGCCAAACCCTGGATGCCATGTTATGTGCTAAATTGCCACCAGCACTATCCCCACCAAAAAACACCCTATCAAAGCTAGCATAATCCATACGCCATACCTCAGGACCCTCGCCATTTGAACGAGGGGCAACCCATTTGACTGCAATCTAAGAATCTTCATAAGCAATAGGCAAAGGATGCTTAGGGGCGAGCCGATAGTTAATTGAAACTGCTACAACACCAGCTTCTGTAACTACTACATTAAGGTGCGCGTGATATGTAAGAGAGAAGGCAGATTTGATCAAAAAGCCTCCACCGTGTAAGTAGACCAAAAGAGGAAGTTTTGTATTTCTAAACCTATTCCAACAAAATCACATCATTTACATTGTATAGAACAACCAACTTTGTGGGGAAACAATAATATCAACATTAAATTGCGCTAACAGAGTATCCAATTTTGGAATGAAAGCATTTAGCTAACAATAGAAATTACGATTTTACAAAGCAAATCATACCATTAAAAAAAAGAATGAAACCTCACCTCAAGTTGAACCACCAAGAATAACTTCACCAGAGAACCATATTGAAATCCAGAGTACAATGGCAATACAAATAAGTATTTATCGGAAGACGAAAGGAACATAACGGAAGAATGTGAAGGGGCAGACATTTGAAGAATTGAAGTTGAAACTAAAGCTCAATCATAAATTCCTTAATAAACCACCTTGTCCTTGCTTTAATTGAGATGAAAATGACGTTTGAAGTTTTTCAAGTTATAATAGCAAAGTAACAGTAATAATTGATACAAACCAAAATGAATGTCTCTGCAAGGACATTTAAGTAATTACACCAATAAAGAAGCTATTATGGGTTGTACCCATTGTAGAAAAGATGATCAAATAATCTCACATTCCCAAACTACCCAAACCTTTGAACAAATCATCACTGCATCTTTTAGAATACAAGGACATTTCAGTAAACACAATAATACACATGCTATCTAAAGTAGTACCCAATACTATAACTACACTCAAAACAACCTCCCAATCCCAAAATACCCCTACTCTTGCGGTTGAAATTCAAAGCCATTCTTTGACCCAAACTCATTCTTATATAGTATAAGGATATTTATATAATTATACTTACACATGGGTTGATTCTTAATTGGACTTGAGCCAAGCAAATTTTAAATTCAACTTATATTTAATTCGAATCACATATTCAAGTCCAAACTTTGTTTGGCCCTATTAAATATAAGGCTCAATAGCTCTTTTTTTTTTTTTTTTTAAAGACCAAATAGGTCAAGCATGGGCTATAACTCAATTCCAATGACAACCCTAAACGTGAGATCCTCATTCAACATTGGAGCCTTCCCATCTTCTCATTCTCTTTCCTAAGGCTTGAGGAAGAGGATTCAGATCTCGTTTGATAATTCAATTCAACACTTAAATTTAGTCGATTCAAATTTTAACATGTTTAGATGCGTTTGATAATCAAAAGTAGAACATTTGATTTAATTAAGTAATTAAGTGCCACTAAATTTCTTAGACAAAATTAATCCTAAAAAGTCATAAACTATTCATTTATAATTTAATGTGATATACATTCAAATGTATTAAATTTAATATTTAACAATTCAACAATTTAACAGATTCAGATTTCAATTTTCACATTTCAATTTTATCAAACACACCCTCAATACAGTTGGGGTTTTGTGCAATTCTATTCAGTTGTTGTACTTTTTACATTACTTGAGATACAATTACATTACATTCTTATTTTTAGAGTAAAAAGTTGTACATGAATAAAAAAACTGACATAGATTTTCAATACTACATTGTAATATATTTTTACACAAAAATTTAAACATATAAAATAATCGGACGGAAACCCAACCACATTGAGTTCTTGCCTAATGCTCGGAGTTTCCCCTTGACCAAAAATAAATAAATAAATAAATCCAGTATGAGGTATAGTTGTCTCCGACAATTAGAGGGGGTGTACTTCATAGGGATTATGATCATTAGGCTTAAACAAACTCTTTTGGTGGTGTAATTTGTGGTGATTAAGATCATCAGGCTTGAATTAAGCAAGTAAAAATAACTTTTTTGGTGGGGAAGGGCATTGACAGATTCCAAGGCACATATACTCAAAAAGGGCAAAAAAGGGAAAAAAAAAAGAAGACAAGAGCGGCAGGAAGTTTTCTTATGATTGGCAATAGATCCGTAATCCATGATTTGGAAGTGATTTATTAATAAACACAAAGCATCAGCATCGTTGAGCGGGCACAGACGGGTTATAGTCCAGGAATATGGTGACCGGTGACCTACGTTGGACTGGATTGACACCGGTTCCAGGCAGCGTCAGCACTCGTCCACTACCAACAGCCGCCATCCCTTTGTTTACAGATCACACTCCACGTGGCAAAACACCCATTCGGAGGAAGTCCACAGGTATTTGTTCTACTCCCTCCGTCCGCTTTTGGCAGTCCTATTTTTTTTTTTCGTCTTTCTAAATTATAGTCTATTTTTTAATTAAAAATATAATTATTTTTAAATTTTTCTAAAATATTCTTATTCAATTTAGATTGTTATTAGTATAAATTACCTTATTTAATATAAATTATTATTGAATATAACCTATCCCATTTAATGTAAAATAAGGATTTATTCTTTCTTTACCATCAATTGAAATTCTCATAAACCATCAATTCAAGTTTCTATGAATAATTAATATAAAGTAATACTTTATTTAATGTAAGGGTATTTTAGAAATATAACAATTTAAATTTATTTTTTCAACATAACTAATTACTTTTTCTTAAACTGTATGAAAAAAGAACTAGAACTATCAAAATGGGAGAGGGGAAATAGTACTCTAGCAACTAGTAACAGGATAGCAGTAACTATTTTTTGGGATAAACTAACTTTTACTCTATACTACTTCATCACATAACGCTCTTATGAGTTAAATATATATATATATATATATATATATAACTCTCTCGTGCTTTGTATTAAAATAACACTGCTAGCTTTTTTTTTGGTTGAAACTAATAGTCAGTAGTAAAAAGTCAAAATCAACTAATAAATTGACAAATTTAGTCATTCATTATATCTTTTTTTCCCTCCAAATATACACAAGAAGAAATTGAAATAAAAATAGATAAATAAGAACTAAAAAAATACCATTAAAAATTTTGTTTAAGAACCTGTAATGATAATAATAGTCAAGAAAGATTTGGAATTTTTTGTTTCTTATTTATTTGTTTTGTAGTCTCCTTCTATCTCTTTTTTGGTTTGTTATTTATTTTTTAATTCCCCTTCCATCTCCTTTTTATTTGAACAAAATTCAGATTTTTTAGACCAAAGTATAGGTTTTCAAAATCATTTAGAGAAAGAAAAGGAAAAATGAAAAAAGAGAAAAGGCAGTAAAAGGATGAATTTATCAAATTATTAGTTTAATTTTGACTTTTTTACTATTAGCCGTTAAATTTTAACAAAAAAAACTAATGGTGACATTTCAATCCAAATCATGAAGGGGTTATATATAAGTTTTTAAACTAGAAAGAGATACGCGATGAAACATCAAAATATGGAGGGGTAAAAAGTAATTTACTTAAAAAAAAATTGAATAACGGGCACCAATTTGACCGTCCGAGCTACGGCGTTTGCATAAATATGATGGAGAGACGGGGAGGAGATACATATATATGTGCGTAACTGCGTATACCGTAATATGGTAGTATGATATGTGATATGTGGCTCTCAGCGATAACTGGATCCCCAGGCCCTACAGTAAAATAATAATTCTGGCGTAGGAATCCTTCGACTGCCGTCTTTATGAAATTCTCATTCCTTCTCCTCTGTACATATACCACTCACTCACAGCTAGGTAGAAACGAATACAGGTTCAAATTCCGAATCTCGGAGAATTAGGGCAAAAACCAGAACCAACGATCTGTTTTTTCTTATCTCCCAGTTCGTACCTTTTTTTTTTTCTTTTTGGGGGGAGCGGGGTACCGACGAAGGAATTAAGGATGGGGCGGAGGAAGGTGGAGATTAAGAAAATCGAGGACAAGAACAGCAGGCAAGTCACGTTTTCCAAGCGGAGAAGCGGACTGATGAAGAAAGCCAAGGAACTTTCCGTTCTCTGCGACGTGGATGTTGCTGTCCTCATCTTCTCTGGTCGCGGCAAGCTCTACGACTTCTGCAGCACCAACAGGTTCCCTTTCTCTCCCTTTTCTCCACCCTCCACCTCACACAATATGCATGTTTTTCTCCTAACCGACCTTCCTTGTCTTGTGTCCAGATCTTGTTTCGTCTCTTATTATTCGTTCCAGTGCTTTCTCTCCCGCAGTTTATTTTTCTTTAAATTTGTGTTAGTCGGCCTGGGTTTTGAAAATGTAATTTTATTGCAACGTTTGTTTCCTTCAAAGTTCAATCAATCACTATTGCGTGATGTTTTATTGCTACGGTTATCACCTGAGGACTTGGTCCTAGTTACGATTTTTATTTTTAAAACCAAAAATAAAAAAATCATGTGCGATATAATTTCTGTTTGTTGGAGAGGGGGGGGGGGGGGGAGAGAAAAAGCCGCAAAAGAAAAAACAAAAACCACTATTAGAACTCCAGAAACTATGAAAAGGCGTCTCTTTTATTGGTTAGGGGATCATTGTGCAGGGATGGTATAGAGATGCCGCAGAAAGAGAGTACGTGTCGTCTTTTCTTTTTTCTTTTTCGCATACATCATGCTTTCTATTTATGGTTAACTACTGGTTTCCTGGTATGGGCAACAAAATGGGAAAGGGGCACGAACTGCCTGCTGTCTTTCTTGTGAATACTGCTTACGCGTAGGCTGTTGGCAAAAAGTAGCTGCTGCCTTTATCTTGTTTCACTACTTGCCTGATTACTCATATTATGTTGGGAAAAGATAAAGCTTCACTGCGTGCGATACAGTCTGTCATTACGCATTAATTAAATAGGATGTTCAACCCAAGTCAAACTTGTCCCACGTGGTGTTCCATCCTGCATTACAGCATTAGTGGTCCGGATGGATGGCTTTGGTGTAAGATAAAAGGATTGATTTCGCATGTGACACTTGTCACGTGTTTCCCATTTCAAGTTAGGGGTACTGCTCATTTGGATGTGTCTTGGCCTGATGTACCATCTTAACCATTCAGCCTCGCCTATCTCGCATAGGACAACCAAATGGCAAAGAGTTTTCCTCAAACGCAATGCTTACCACCTTGCCATGCTGAGCTTTGGCAGAATTCATTTTCAGTTGAATGTGCTAAATGGACCCGAACCTAAATTACTCGTGTGCATGCTGGTGTGAGATGGATTGATTTGTTGGATGGTTTGACTGGGGATAAGGCATTTGTGAACCTTAGTTATCATTTACAGTCTAAGAATTCTTCTTAGCCACATTAACACTATTGAGCACCAATGAATAACGCCATCATGGTGAGAGCATGCCAATATAGCATGTTTCTTTTGAATCATTTGATTTCTTTTGTTTGTTACAATGCCTTATTTAGCAGCATCAACTGACACATAACGTACAAAAGTTTATCCCAACTTGTGGAGTATCCTAGTATTTTGTATTTTAGAAAGTGGAGAATATGACACTTGGTAATCATATAGTTAGCAATTCTCATAAACCCCATATTCTTAATCCATAGTTTACGAAGCTGGGGAATGGGACTTTTGAATTCAACATCATAAGTGATTTTCATATCCCGATTCATGTGAAGTGGTTTGATATGGATTGTCTGCATGAGCAAATGAAGTTACTCAATTTGCCTAGGTGGAGAGGGAGACAATTTAGGAGGCATTTGGTAAGAGGGTTTTTGGGTGTCAAATGGTGTGGATTCCAATGTGTCGAAATCATATCTTAAAATTTAGAAATCCTCAATCCTGACCAATTGGGAGGATTTGGCTAATTATCATATTTAATTTTGAGTGATACTAAAAAATAAAATTGCTCTCTCTCTCTCTCTCTCTCTATTTTTCCCCTAGTACTCATCTCTTTCCTTTTTGTCCCTGAACTTCTCTTTCTTTAGCTCATCCTTCTCAGGTCTCTCTTCCCATGCCAATAGCCCCTACATCTTCTCTATCGCCTTATTTTGGAACAATTAAATCACCTATTGAAAAAAAAAAACTCATGGTCATTGGAAAGAATTTATGTGGTAATTCCTTGCCCATTCATGATTTGAGGATTCGCTACTTCTTAATGGCTCTCAAGAGTTAGTAAAAAGAGAAATAACGATAGTTTGCCCTTAAAGACCCCCCTTTTGGTTATTCTAGTGATTTTCAGGAATTCAAATTAACTTTAGAAGGTTACTGAGTGTTATTTCCCATATGGATTTTTCAATTTAGAGGTGAATTAGTGGCGGTTGTAAGGTTGAGATGCCACCGGTGGTGGTGCAATTGCGAATGCATGTTAACTAATGCAGAAAGGAAAATATCTTTTAATTCCTATCCCAACCAAAATTTTATGAAACAGTACTTGTAGGAATTTTACTCGTGTTTAAACTCGAAATGGAACCTTGTATATGATTCCAATTGCGATTCCAAGTTTTGAACATGAATCAAACTGTCCCTCTGTAGTTCAAGAAATGATTTTAAAAGTGGCTCCTTTTGATCAAACTACATTTAGCAGTGCCAAGACTTAGTCATTGCATGATATAGAAAGCAAATAGAGAAAGAAAATGTAGAAACTAAACAATAGTTAAAAATAGAAAAAATATCTTTTATATCCCATTCCAGTGAAAATGTTACCAAATAATATACAATTGGTCTAAAGCCATATTGAAATATTGTATATCTTTCCAATTCCAATTCTGATTTTCAAACATGGATCAAAGTACCTATCAATGGTTGATGAACTGGTTTAAGTCACTCTTTCTAAATCAAACTAAATTTAGAAGTCTCGAGATTTATGGTAGATTAGCGATATGCATATCCTTTGCTTCCTCAAAAGAAAAAAATTTCCAAAGCTCTTACATCCATGTTGATTGATATCCTTGGCAACACTGGTTCATGAAGCAAACATGAAGAACTTTTCACATCATAGAACAAAGTAATTAGCAACCTCAATCTCAAATAGTTGTCATTTTCCAAAAGTAAGATGGTTCAATAACAGGTGAATTTTTTCACTAGCCAACTTAGCTTGAAATGACTTTTTGAACTATCTTATGGAAAAAGTTAAATCCACACATCTAGTAGAGGCAAGCATTCACAGAACTAGATCAGCTTTATGAAGAACAAGTCATATCAATGACCAAGAAAACTTGGGAAAGGAACCTTCCACTTCTCTAGAGATAAAGCCATTGAAGGGTAAATGGGAACCCGCATTTTTATTCTTTTGTTTTCTCATAGCACACTTCCCTTGAGAATTCTTTACCCTTTGTCTTAGGGAGACCAAAAAATGCACTTATTTTGCATTGGATTAGCCTTTCCAAACTTCCTAAAAGAGATCTTATACTTCTTTGCATTGCCTTAGTAACGCTTAAATTTGATTAGTTGTCTTTATGAAGGCAAAAGAGGAAGTTCAAAATCATCATCATGAAAACTTTAGATCAAAGTCAATCACCCTAAATTTATGAATGGAATCTTGAAATCTTATTACAAGTGGTTGAATTTGCCATGCACAAAAGGATATTTTATTTGTTGAAAGATCAGGAAATGGTATGTTTCCATTGGGTTCTTATAAACTTTTACCATATGCAATCGATTGTACAACAAAGGTTTAAAGACCAAAAACACAAAAATGTCATTGAAATTGAAGACGATGTCTCTAGTGCTTTTCTTTTGTTATTGTTTTTGTTTGAAATCTTCAATCAAATAATCAAAATGCTATTGCAAACTAGGAACTAGGATATAGTATTCTATTGTTTTTTATAGTTGGAGTCACGTTATAATCCCACTTGTATTGAACCAAATTATTGTATTTGGCTTTTCAATTTCAAGAGATAGATGTTCATATGCTAATAAGGATTGAATTATTCATACCTATATCTTACATTATACATATCCTATGTATATTTCAATTAATAAAGAGCACATTGGCGAAATGTCACCAAACTATTAGGTTGTACCGCTTTTGATCTCTAAACTAATTTGTTAGCAAAAAATGTTATTGAACTAGTAAATTTGCGACATTTAAGTTATTCTGTCTAAATATTCCATTAAGAAAGACGGAAACAAACTTTTTAGGGGCAATTTCTTCTACATAGCTTTTTGTGTGCTATAGAAGAAACAATGGTGGGTGGAACTTTTAATTGACAAACTTAGACCAAATTTTCTCAATTTCAAATGATGATACAACTTAAAACCTTAGATCCACCACCACGATGGTCATCGGGATTTACCTTCTTCCCTAACCTCAAACCCCATATAGGACCCTAACTTTCCACCAATTTCTAGTCCTCTCTCACCTTCACCACCTAGTCTTCCTTCCACACCTCCTGTAAACCTCCAAGTATTGTCAAATGCATACTTGGCCTTGAAGTCCAAACTGCAAACACCACAATCCACACTGCGGCTGCGGAATTTAACTCCTACCCATTTCAATCTAGCCTAAACCCAAGTGGAAATGCCACTGGTTGGGCTCCGCTTAATGGCCGACATGGAACCCACCATTTGGGGGAGTTGGATCTTTCATTCTTGTTGGTCTACTCTATTGGGATGTATTTTGTTAGCCTTATTGGCGATAGCTTTGATTTGAGGTTGTTTTTTATTATAGGAATAGTGGGTAGTGGCTGCTACTACTGCATTAAACTCTTGTTGATTCCCCAGTCTACCGGATCTATTTAGCTCAAACTTGATTCTTTGACTCTCTAAACTTGATCTTCAAGTTTGACTTCAAGGGATAGTTAAAGATTAAAGCTTTCCACCTTTCTGGCAGGGGACTTTTGTGACTAGAAGTTGATATTGATTTATTCACTTAAGAATTTGAAGTTAGTTGCTGGACTGATTAATTGGTCTTACTTTGGACAAGTAGACAAATATTTGAGGATAATTGTGTTCAAATATGCATACAAGGAATCGTAGTCGGCAAACGGATACAAGGCTTATGCAATGGTGATAGGTGGGGTAGCAATGGTGATAGGTTGAGCGGCCACTGCCTCCACAATTTCACCTAAGAGTTCAATGAGGGGTAATGGAGGGTATAATTCTAAGTATAGGGGATACATTCGAGGTGGTTTTGGACGTAGGTAG